GGCTGGGCTTGGACACAGAATCTAAGATCCTTGGGAGTCGCTGATAGGAGCCCTCAGACTCTGTGTGTGTGTGTGTGTGTGTGTGTGTGTGTGTTTCAGGTTTGTCTAAGCCGGCCAATTGTGGGCTAAGTTTGCTGTTTTTTTTTTTTTTTTTTTTTTTCCGAGACAGGGTTTCTCTGTGTAGCTTTGCGCCTTTCCTGGTACTCGCTTTGGAGACCAGGCTGGCCTCGAACTCACAGAGATTCGCCTGGCTCTGCCTCCCGAGTGCTGGGATTAAAGGCGTGCGCCACCACCGCCCGGCAAGTTTGCTGTTTTTGATACCCAGTTTCATGTGGCTGGCCCGTGAAGCTAAGGATGACCTTGAATGTCTGATCCTCCTGCCTCCACCTGCCAAGTGCTGGGATTATACTTGTGTACCACCGAGCCTGGTTTATGTAGAGCTGGGAGGTTGAACCCAGGACCTTTGTGCATGCCAGGCAAGCACTCTACCAACTGAGCTCCTCTGCCTCAGTGGTGAGCTATGAAGGGCCATTGTGCAGCGGTTGGTGGGTGGGTGGGTGAGTGGGCAGGGGCAGAATGTGACTGGTACAGCAGATGGGCCATTGTGTAAGGGAATGTGCCGCATGTGCCTGACCTTTTCCTGTGTGGCAGGGGTTGGCGGGCTGGCATGCCAGGTGGGGGCCAAGCTCAGGGACAGGCCCCTCCTCCATGCCCCCAGGAGGGCCTGGCTGGAGGCTGACGGCTCTGTGCCTTCTTGGGTTGTGTGCCCCACACAGGCACAAGTTCTCTTGGCCTCTCTGAGAGGACGTATTTTTCAGAAGCAGAGCAGGTGTCCGGTAAACTCAAACCAGTGTCATATACTTGGTTTTGTTTGTTTTTTCGAGACAGGGTTTCTCTGTAACTTTGGAGCCTGTCCTGGAACTCGCTCTGTAGACCTCGAACTCACAGAGATCCACCTGCCTCTGCCTCCCGAGTGCTGGGATTACAGGCGTGCACCACCACCACCCGGTTTGTCATATACTTGTAACCCCAGTATTCGGGAGGCAAAATGGGAAGATCAAGAGTTCAAGGTCATTTTCAACTACATAGAGAATTTGAGGCTAACATGTACTGAGAGCATGTCTCAAAACACAAAGCAAGCAGGGAGGTGGCGGCGCACGCCTTTAACCGCAGCACTCAGGAGGCAGAGACAGCCACATCTCTGTGAGTTCGAGGCCAGCCTGGTCTACAGAGCTAGTTTCAGGACAGCTAGGGCTGCCAGGAGAAACCCTGTCTCAAGAGACAAAAAAGACAAAACAAAACAAAACAAAAACCTCAAAGCAAGGGCTGGGAATGTAGAATGGGTGCCTTGTATGCTAAAGGTCTGGGTTTGACTCCATAAGCAGGGAATAAATCAGACACCGTGGGGTTACAAGTATGTGCTACCAGGCCTGGCTCTGCATTCACTCTTTTGAGACAGGGTCTCTATGTATCCCAGGCTGGTCTGGAACTAACTACATGGCATTTATGGACAAAGAATTGCCAGAGTGGGTACAGGGCCAGGCTCTCAGGAAGCCACTGGGGCACAGGAAGTGATACTATTGCGTATGTTGTTCTTCCTAGAGCCCCGGACCCAGGAGGCCCAGGGAGCTGGAGGTGACGCTCAGGTGAGTGCTGGCTGATCCCATCTACCCTTCTCTGTCTTCCCTGGGCCTGTCTGGTGTCCCATGGTTCTTTGTCTCTCTTTGGCAGGCAGCAAGACCTCAAAGGAAGCCTGAAATCCCTGCTTACAGCTGTGCATCACCTCGAGTGGGGCTCCTCTCAGGAGAAAAGACCAGCACCCAGGAAGCGGTGAGGGGCCCTACTCTCTGTCTGCCTGATGCCACGCTTGCTCTGACTTCACCGGCAAGCCCCACCTCTATCCCACGATCTCTCCATGCCTCAAACCTCCGTCTTGTACCCTCAGGCTCAGCGGCAGCTGCTCCATGAGGAGCTGAAGCTGGTCCTACAGCAGAAGGAGGTGAGGAAACAGGAGCCTGAGGCCCAGGCGACTCTCTGCAGAGCTATGGAGGCCAGGAGCCGCAGTGCTGAGGTGGGTGTCCACAGGCCAGGGTGGCAATAATAGTAAATGTGTGGGGCATCCAGATAGGTGTGGTGGCTTTTATGCCTGTCATCTTAACTTCCAAGTTCAAGGTCATCCTGGGCTACAGAACTGGGATCCTGTCTCAACAAAACAAAACAAAAACCTCACAGAGGCTGATTCTTTGGATCATGAAGGGTTGAATGAATAGTGAGTGCATGGCTTGGAGGCACAGGCCTGTCATTCTAGCACTTGGAAGGATGAAACCGGAGGATTCCAAGTTCAAGTTCAGCCTGGGCAACTTAGTCAGACTGTCTCAAAAAGGTTTAAAAAAAGGGTGTATGTGTGTCACTTGGTGGTAGAGTACCTTAACATATACAAGGCCCTGGGTTCAATCCTTGGCACTGATGATGATGATGATGATGAAGCCCAGCAGAGGGGCCAGCCAGATGGCCCTGTGGGTACAGGTTTCTGCTGCCAAGCCTGATGACCTGAGTTCAATCTCTGGAAGCTACACAGTAGAAGGAAAGACCCAGTTCCTAAAATCGATTCCTTTGACCTCTCTACACATACATATACATAAATAAATGAATGTAAACAAAACTTTTAAAAGGAGCCTAGGGGGCTGGAGAGCTGGCTCAGTGGTTAAGAGCACTGACTGTTTTCCCAGAGGATCGGTTTCAATTTCCAGCACCCACACAGGCCCCACAACCATCTGCAACTCCTGTCCCAGGAGATCTGACACACTCCTCTGACCTCCATGGACACCAATCGGTGTAGCACACAGACACACATGCAGGCAAAATATCAACGAACAGAAAATCTTTGTTTTTGCTCTTTCTCCCCATATCTTTTAAAATTAAATTAGAAAATGGCTGGGTTTGTGGCATAGGCCTCTAATCCCAGCACTTGAGAGGCAGAGGCTGGTGGATCTCTGTGAGTTCAAGGCCAGCATGGTTTCCATACTGAATTTCAGGACAACCAGAGCCATGAGACCTTGTCTTGAAAAACAAAAAACAAAAAATCCAACAGAAATAATTCATCAGAAGAAGCTAGCATAACCAGACATGGATAGATGCTTATGATCCCAGCATTTGTACTCAAGAGGCTGAAGCAGGAGGACTACTATGAGTTTGAGGCCAACCTGGACTACAGAGTAGGACCCTGAGTCAAAATACCCCCTGCAAGGAAGGGGTGAGGAAGTATAGGGTCAGCGTAGAGGCCTTGGGGACCCACAGGGGCAAGTCCAGTCCTACACTGCTTTTGCTGTGTAGCCCTAGGCAGGTGACCTAACCACTTTGAGCCCCAGCGTCCTCATTTGAGATGGACCAATGGTCCCCACCTCTGGGGACTTTGAGGATTCACATTTTGGCCATCTGCACAGTCTGGCACCAAGGGAATGCCTCAGTGACTGTAATTGCTTTTCGATTAAATGTTAGCGGTTTTAACCTCTTCTGTTGGGTACTGGACTGGGTGGCTCTACTCACAAAGGAGGCTCATTCAGGCTGAGGGGGAAAGGCAAGGGGGTTGTTGCCTGTAGAGCCCTGGGATGGAATATTTGTTTAATGTGCTGTGTGGCATTAGGTAAGGTACTTTAATGACTAGGATTTACTGCCTTCCTGTGACTTCCTAAAAAAGATGGAAGAGACAGAGGGGAGTGGAAGGACCACGCTGTTCCCAGAGCCCACTCCAACTCTGACGTTCCATATTGCCCTGCCCTAGTCCCCTGAGGCCCCTGCAGTAGGGCACCTAGTCTAGTCCTGTTTTTCCCTGTCCATGCTCTGGGACGGGCGCCAGTCCCGGCTGGTCTCAATGCCTTACACTTGTCCCTTCCATCTGTGCTCGTTCACAACCAGAGGCTCCTTCCATATTACCCAACCTCGCAGCACAGTGATAGGCCCAGAAAGTAAACCATGCACCCCCAGATGCACACAGCAGAGTGGTTTCCTAGACAGAATCAGATCTCTCGCTTCCCCTTCTGGGAAGCAGATGTGAACCCTCCAGTGTGTTTCGGAACAAGGGCCAGAAATACCACGGATGCCACTTCTGCTGTGGTCACACCATTCATTACCCACGCATCCCCCGTGGTGACTGGATTCCCTCTCCCGGGGGAGTTACGCATGTCTCGGGTTAGAACGTCCACAACAGCATTCTCACATACATTCAAACCCACAGGGGGCAAGACCCTATTCTTCCATCTTGCATGGCTTCAGGGTGCCTCCCTTTCTTAGAAGCATGCCCTTGTTCTATAGGAATAACTACGATCAAGTGGAATATTTTATATATGTATTTTGGTTTGTTTGTTTAGTTTTTATTGGGAATGGAACCCAGAACCTTGTGCATGCTAGGCCTTGCCTCTACCATTGGGTTAATTCTCTAGGCTAGGTATGCAGTTAATAAAGGCTCACCAAGTCTTTAGAATATGAATATGGATATTGGAGTTGGCATTTTTGTCTTATACCTTTAATTCCAGGACTTGGGTGGTTGAGGCTGGACTGCCTTGAGCTCCACCTCAGCCTAGGCCAAAGGAATCCCTTTCAGAAAAGGGCAGGGGTGAGCATGGTGGAGCACACCTGTAATCAGCATGGGACAGAGGTAGGCAGATCACTGTGACTTTAAGACCAATTTGGTGAATGCAGTGTTTCAGGCCAGCCAGAACCTCATGAGACCCTGCCACAAACAAATGAACAAACAAGGAGGGAGACAGGTCAGTGGACCAGAGTTCAGTTTCCAGCATCCATTGGACTGCTCACAGCTAATTGGCTGTGACTCCAGCTATAGAGGACCCCAAGCCTTCCTCTGACTGCCATAGGCACCCATATGCATATGCACATTGATTGCACACACACACACACACACACACAATTTTTTTAAAAAAGGTCGGGCATGGTGGTACACATCTTTAATTCCAGCACTTGAGGGTGGATCTCTGTGAGTTCCAGGCCAGCCTGGTCTACATAATGAGTTCAAGGCAGCTCTGGGCTACATGAGTCCTGTCTTAAAATGAAGAAGGAAGGAGGGAGAAAGATGAATAAGCCTCTCAAAGATGCCTCTTAGGCACTTCCAAGCGGCTCCACCCCATGATCTGGCCCCGTCCACCCTCCCCCTCCTTTTCCAGCCCCGCTCCTTGTCCCTCTGGACCCCGATCCTCCCGGAGAGGGAGAGGGAGGGTAGCACCGCGGGTCCTAGAGAAGGAACGCCATGGCGAGCTCTGGGCTAGTAGCCGTCCTGGAGCGTCATGGCGACCCCTCGCCGCCCCTCGCAGGAACTGAGACGAGCGGAGTTGGTGGAGATTATCGTGGAGACCGAGGCGCAGACGGGAGTCAGCGGTATCAACGTAGCAGGCGGCGGCAAAGAAGGAATCTTCGTCCGCGAGCTGCGCGAGGATTCACCTGCGGCCAGGAGCCTCAGCTTGCAGGAAGGTGGGCGTGGCCTGGAGAGGGCGGGGCGGAGCGGGTCTGCGCGACGGAGTTAAGCTGCCTGGGACAAAACTGGGGGCGTGGCCTGGAGAGGGCGGGGCGGAGCTGATCTGCGGAGGCGGAGTTAGGAATCTGCTTTGGGTGGGGAGCCTGGCGAGGGCGTGACGGGGGTGGGGTGGGGCCTGGTGGCATGGTGGGGACTGGACTGACCTGCGTGGGTGTGGTTAGGTATATGCCCAGAGTCCTGGCGGGGATGCAATTGAAACTGGACCCATTTGCCAGGAGGCGGTGTTAAGGGACTGGGGTGAGGCTTTCCGTGTTCTTTTCCTGAATCCAGCTCCTCAAGCATGCCAGGCAAGGACTCTACCACTGAATGACATCTCTTGACTGTTTAGGGGGCTCGGGAAATTGAGTCAGGGCCTCCTGGAGCCCAGGCCCGCACTGAACTCGCCGTACAGCAATGGATGACTTGACTCCATCTCCCAAAGAGTCAGGATTACAGGCATGCACCACCATGCCCTGCTTTCCAACTCCTTTTTAACTTTTTGAGAGCCTTTCTAAGTTGCCTGGTTGGACTTGAACTTGAAAAATAATTATATTATTTTATTTGTATGGATGGTTTGCCTCCAAGTACGACGGTGTGCCTTGTACCTGCTGTACCTCCGGAGGCCAGAAGAGGGCATGGGATCCCCTGTGAGCGGCCAAGTGGGTGCCAGGACAAAAATGGGTCCTCTGGAAGAGCGCACGCTCACATTTTTCTTTTCTTTTCTTTTTCTTTTTTCTTTTTTTTCCCCAGACATGATTTCTCTGTGTAACAACCCTGGCTATCCTGGAACTCGCTTTGTAGACCAGGCTGGCCTGGAACTCACAGAGATTCACCTGCCCCCGCCTCCTGAGTGTTGGTATTAAAGGCGTGAGCCAGCACTTCTGGAGAGCACTTTTCTTAACCGCTGAGCCTTCTTGCTAGCCTTGAACTTTTGATCCTTCTGCCTCAGCCTCCCGGGTAGCTGGGATGACAGGCCTGAGTGACCATGCCCAGCTGGCACTGTGATTATTTAAGGCCAGTTCATTGCCTGTGTTGGACTCCCAGAACCCTCGTGATATTTTTGTGTCTCCATATTTTCATCTTTAAATGGGAATAATTAGCACTGACCTCATGAGGTTATTATGTAGCTTAAATGAGTCAGGTTTTGAAAACAGCACACAGCTAAGTGTCACACAGTAAGCACTATGTAAGTGCTAATTAATGTGTTATTGGGACAGGGGAAAGGGGTGGGGTTAACTTGAGGTGGAGAGAAGAGCTTAATTAAATAATTAAATCAAAGATGTTTTAAGAAATATGGATAAAGCTGATTTGACATATATTGCACATAATAATTATTCTTTTTAAATTAATTATTTTTAAAATGTATGTGTTTATTTTTGTCATACTGGGGATAGAGCCCAGGGCTTTGGGCTTGCTAGACTAGTGCTCTGTGACTGAACTGTGCTCCCAACCTCTCAGTGGTGGATTCTAGGCAAGTTTTCTACCAATGAAGTACATCCCTGCTCCATAAGAATTATTTACAAAGGGTCTTAGTGCTTTGGCTACAACAGTGAACAAGACCTGAGGAGCTTGCAATATAGTGGGGAGACACTAGTGAGAAGTCAGGGGAAGGGCTCATAAGGACTATGACTTTTGTGGCATAAGCAGAGGAAAGGCAGGGAGGCATTTTGTCGCATAAGCAGAGGAAAGGCAGGGAGGCATTTTTTTTTTTTTCCGGAGCTGAGGACGGAACCCAGGGCCTTGTGCTTGCAAATCCTCAACCCCAAAGAGATGTGTCTTGTCGAGCTGCTCCATTCACAGTAGTCTGTATGAGGCAGTGTCGGGAGCAAGATCAATTACAAGACGGCTCTTCGATGAGCTGCTGAGAGATGGTGGGTGCTCAGGCCACAGGGGGAGTTGTTGGAAGTGAAGAGAACTATTTGGATCCCGGATATTCAGGATCTAAGTGTGGGGTACGATGGAGAGAGAGGCCTCAAAGATATTCCTAGGGATCACTTTTAGGTGAGGCTGTAGCTCAGTGGTAGAGCACTTGGCTAGCATGGATGAGGCCCTAGGTTTCATCTCTAATACTCCCCAGGAGTTTTTTTTTTTTTACCTGAGGATAGAGTAGCCTGCTGATACCTGTTTGGAGAAAGACAAGGTGTGCATAGTTTTTGTTGTTGTTTGTTTTAAAACTCAAGGATAATTTTATTTTCAGACTGGGAGAAAAACACCAAAGCAAGCAAGCTGTAAGTCTTAGCATTTGCTGAGAGGAGGAAGTGGAAGGGAGAATGCCAGGCCTTTTAAGTTAGGGTCCGAGAAAGCAATGGAGGTTAGTAAGTACGCCCGTGGATAAAGGGGTCGGGGAGCCTCAGAGAAAGAGTGAGGAAACGCTGTCGGGGAAAGCATGCCCAGGCCCTGAGAAATATCCAAAAGAAATAGAAATGGAAAAGAAGGAAAAGTCACCTGGCTCTCAAGGGCTGCACGCAGGAAGCTGTGCAAAGGTGGCCTTCACTGTTTGGTTTTATTTTTTATTTTTATTTATTTATTTATTTTTGTTTGTTTGTTTTTAATTTTCCGGAGCTGAGGACTGAACCCAGGGCCTTGTGCTTGCTAGGCAAGCGCTCTACCACTGAGCTAAATCCCCAATCCCTTGGTTTTATTTTTTGAGACAGAGTCTCCCCATGTGATCCAGGCTAGCCTTAGATTCGAGATTCTCCTGCCCCAGCCTCCCAAGGGTTGCTGGGATGACAGGCACGCATGACCGACCACCAGACCCATCAATTTTGGCCCTCTTAAATCGGAGCTGTCTCTTGCCCACCCGGCTGGAGGTGTGGAGGGACAGCTGGACAGACAATCCACCCTACACACCTGCGAATTCTGCATCTAGAAAGTTTAGCCAATCAGAGACTGAAAATATTTGTGGGTGGTGGGGGTGGTGGGGGCGGGGTCATACTGAACACGGCTGCACTTTTCCCTCGTCATTATTCCCTAGACAACACAGCTGAGGGGCTAGAGAAGGGACTCTGAAGTTAAGAGCATTTGCTGGTCACGCAGAGAACCTTGGTTCAGTTCCCAGCACCAACATGGTGGCTGACAACTGTCCCTTACAACTGTTTCCAGGGGGTCTCATGTCCTCCTCTGGCCTCTGTAGCTAGAGTTTTCCTGCCTGGCCCACAGTCAGGACAAATCTCTCTCATCCGCCAGTCCCACAGCCTCTCAGACTTGATCAAGTAAACACAGAGACTTATATTGGTTACAAACTGTATGGCCATGGCAGGCTTCTTGCTAGCTGTTCTTACAGCTTAAATTAATCCATTTCTATTAATCTATACCTTGCCACGTGGCTTGTGGCTTACTGGTACTTTACATCTTCCTTGTCCTGATGGCGGCTGGCAGTGTCTCCTCCACTCAGCCTTCCACTTCCCAGCTCTATTCTCCTCCTTGTCCCGCCTATACTTCCTGCCTGGCCACGGGCCAATCAGTGATTTATTTATTGACCAATCAGCAACACATTTGACATACAGACCATCCCACAGCAGGCCTCTGCATTGTCATACATGGAGGCAAAGTATTTATACACATAAAGTAAGAATGAATAAATCTTTAAAAAACAAAGGAACAACTATTTATATAGCATTTACACTGTATCAGACATAATCTGGAACTGGGCCTGGTGCTGGCCTGTCATCCCAGCAGTGCTTGGGAGTCCAGGGGAAGAGAATCTTGAGTTTATGGTTAGCCTGGACCACGTAGGGAAACTTTGTCTCAAAAAGTAAACAACTGTTTAAGAGTCTGAGGTAGGAGAATGGAAATTCAAAGGTCTGCCCAGGCAACTTAGCAACATCCTATCTCAAAAACAGTGAGGAGAGGACTAGTGCTGTGGCTGAGGGGTAGAGAGCGTGCCTAGAGTCAGCAAGAGCCGAGCGGTGTGGCTCAGTGGAAGAACATTAGTCCGGCATGCATAAGGCCTTGGGTTCAATCTCTAGCACCATTAGTCCTGGATTCAATTTCCCGCACCATTAAAAAACAAAGTTGCCGGGCGGTGGTGGTGCACGCCTTCAATCCCAGCACTGGGGAGGCAGAGCCAGGCGGATCTCTGTGAGTTCGAGGCCAGCCTGGTCTCCAAAGCGAGTTCCAGGAAAGGCGCAAAGCTACACAGAGAAACCCTGTCTCGAAAAACCAAAAAAAAAAAGTTGAGGCCAGAGGGCTGGCTCAGCATCTAAGAGCACTGGTTACTCTTCCAGAGGACCCTGCTTCTCTTCTTTTTTTTCCTTTTTCTTTTGAGACAGGGTTTCTCCGTGTAGCTTTTGTTGCCCTGGAACTCGCTTTGTAGACCAGGTTAGCCTCAGACTCAGAGACCACCTGCCTCTGCCTCCAGAGTGCTGGGATTAAAGGTGTGCGCCACCACGCCTGGCACCTAGAGACGGTTTAAAGTGCAGGGAGAATGTGTATAGGTTTTATGCAAATACTATACCTATTTATATGAGATGTGCATATTCACAGTTTTAATATCTGGGGTAGTTAGTGCTCCAAAAAATTCCCTGAAGAGATTGGGGGACCTTTTATAAGTGTGGAAGAGAGTATTCAAGGATAAAATATAAACTTGGATGTTAGAAGCAGACATCTTTTTTTTTTTCTTCAATACTAGGTTTCTCTGTGTAGTCCTGGATGTAGACCTCTCTCTGTAGACCAAGCTGGCATCCAACTCACAGAGATCCTCCAGCTTCTGCCTCCCAGTGCTGGAATTAAAGCCGTGTATTGCCGCCACCATCACCCAGCTGGAAGCAGACATCTTACAAGCTTTACAAAATTTCCCAACTGGGACACCATAATCCTAGTAGTCAGGAAACTGAGGCAAAAGGATTGATAGTTTGAGGCCAGTCTTGGATTCATAGTGAAAGAGAGATCAAGACCAGCCTGAGCTACACAGAGAAAGCCCAGCTTCAGAAAACAAAAAACGAAAAAACAAGGGCTGGAGAGATAGCTCAGTGGTTAAGACACTGTAGCCAGCAGTTTCCCAGCGCCTTCACTGGGCAGTTTACAACCACCTGTAAATCCATTTCTAGGAGATCTGAAGCTCTCTTCGGGCTTCTGTGGGTACCAGCATACACCCACACCCACACACAAATAAAATAAATATTACAACACACATAGTAAAAAGTGTTACAGGGGCCGCAGAGATGGTTCCGTGGTTAAGAGTGCTTGCTGCACTTCCTGGGGACTGAGTTCAGTTCCCAGCACTCATGTCAGTATGTGATGCCCTCTTTTGGCCTCGGAGAGCACCCACGTAAACAAGGCATACATACACACAGACAATCATTAAATGCAGGAAGATAGCAAGGGTGGCAACACACTTCTTTAATTCCATCGCCTGGGAAGCGGAGACAGTGGATCTCTGCTCATTTGAGGCCAGTGTGCATAGACAAAGAAAATTCAAGGTCCGAATCCTCTGCCAGTGTGCCTTTTGTATGTATGTGTGGTATTGGAGATTGAACCCAGGACATCCTTCATGCTAGGCAAGCATGCTCTATAGGAGAGCTACAGCTCTAGTTCCAACAGTGTGTTTTCATGAGTTCAAGAACATGGGGAAGGAACCATTCACAGAGGGCAAGGAACTGCCATATAGGCTATCAACTTTAGTAATGGCGGCAGATGCCTGTAATCTTAGCACTTGAGGTGGAGGCAGAAGGATCCGGGGTTTAAGATCATCCTCCGCTATATATTGTAAACTGAACTACACAAAACCCCTGTGGATGTTACTTTTTGATTCTGATCTCACAAGGAACCCTCTGAATGATGAGGATGGAATAAGACGGTGGAGAGGCCTGAGTGGACTGGTTCAATCTGGAAAGGGGCGGGGCCAAAACCAATGGAACCTGCTTCGTTCCTAGAGCCCTTACCTTTGAGATTTCCTCTCTCAAGCCAGAGGCCAAGATGAGCAGGGTCAAAATCTGGGCCTGGGCCTCACTGGCTGGCTCCTACGAAGTGGGTGTGCCTCACTGTGGGAGGGGTCAGGAGACACTCACTCTCCGCCCACCTCCCCCTTGCTTGCAGGGGACCAGCTGCTGAGTGCCCGCGTGTTCTTTGAGAACTTCAAGTATGAGGATGCGCTTCGCCTGTTGCAATGCGCCGAGCCCTACAAGGTCTCCTTCTGCCTGAAGCGCACTGTGCCCACGGGGGACCTGGCGCTGCGGCCCGGGACGGTGTCTGGCTTCGAGATGAAGGGCCCGCGGGCCAAAGTGGCCAAGCTGGTACGCGTGCTTAGCCGGGTCCCGGCCCAGGACTGCCCCAGCGACCCGGTCTCTGCGCCGTAAATCCTACTCCCTGACACGGTGGCCCAGTTTGTCCCTTTGTCTTGTCACTAACCCAACACTAATCCGCCCTCTGCCCCTTGTTCTCTGCTCCTAAACTCCACCCCCTGGGAGGAGGATGCGCCTATCAGAAGGAGGCTCACACCCATCCCCACCGAGGGAACCAGGCTGATTAGGATCCATGGAATCCTCCTGGAAGGCCAGATTCTAGCCTCAGGCCTGTTGGGTTACTGAGTGACTCGAGTTTCTTTTCCTTTCTGGGTCCCAGTTTCCCCATCTCTGCAATGAGATTCTAAATACTGTCATTGCCTCCCTGGCGGGAAGTGATAGGCAGGAAGGTGGATGGTGTTTTGGGGGATACATCCCCAGCCTGGTATAATGCTGGGTGGGGTGTTTTTTCTGTCCACTCCCAGCCTCCCACTGTCCCACAGCCTCCTCTCTCCTGCCTTTCTCCTCTCTCCTCAGAACATCCAGAGTCTGTCCCCTGTGAAGAAGAAGAAGATGGTGCCGGGGGCCCTGGGGACCCCTGCAGATTTGGCCCCTGTCGACGTTGAGTTCTCCCTACCCAAGTTCTCCCGACTGCGTCGGGGTCTCAAAATCGAGGCTGCCAAGGGACCTGTCCCAGCTGCCCCAGCCCGTCGTCGTCTCCAGCTGCCCCGGCTACGTGTCCGAGAAGTGGCTGAAGAGGCCCAGGTAGCCCGAATGGCGGCGGCTGCTCCTCCCCCGAGGAAGGCCAAGGCAGAGGCTGAGGTAGCCACAGGAGCTGGGTTCACAGCCCCTCAGATAGAGCTAGTCGGGCCCCGGCTGCCAAGTGCCGAGGTGGGTGTTGCTCAGGTGCCAGCTCCCAAGGGAGCCCCGTCAGCGGAGTCAGCCAGCGGCTTTGCCCTTCACCTGCCAACCCTGGGGTTAGGAGCCCCAGCTGCCCCAGCTGCGGAGCCCCCAGCCATCGGAATCCAGGTTCCACAAGTGGAGCTCCCCACCCTGCCCTCTTTACCCCCTCTTCCCACTCTTCCATGCCTGGACACCCAGGAAGGGGCTGCAGTGGTGAAGGTCCCCACCCTGGATGTGGCAGCACCTTCCGTGGGAGTGGACCTGGCTTTGCCAGGTACAGAGGTGGAGGCCCAGGGAGAGGTACCTGAGGTGGCCCTGAAGATGCCCCGCCTCAGTTTCCCCCGCTTTGGGGTTCGAGGGAAGGAAGCTACTGAAGCCAAGGAGGTCAAGGGAAGCCCTGAGGCCAAAGCAAAGGGTCCCAGACTTCGAATGCCCACCTTTGGGCTTTCTCTCCTGGAGCCCCGGCCCTCTGGCCCTGAAGCTGTCGCTGAGAGCAAGCTGAAGCTCCCCACCCTCAAGATGCCTTCTTTTGGCATTGGTGTGGCTGGGCCTGAGGTCAAGGCACCCAAAGGGCCCGAAGTGAAGCTCCCCAAGGTTCCTGATGTCAAACTCCCAAAAGTGCCTGAGGCAGCCATTCCAGATGTGCGACTCCCCGAGGTACAGCTGCCCAAAATGTCAGAGGTGAAACTTCCAAAGATCCCTGAGATGGCCGTACCCGAGGTTCACCTTCCAGAAGTGCAGCTGCCCAAAGTCCCTGAGATGAAAGTCCCAGAGATGAAGCTCCCGAAGGTGCCTGAGATGGCTGTGCCTGATGTACACCTTCCAGATGTACAGCTCCCAAAAGTTCCCGAAATGAAGCTCCCAGAGATGAAGCTCCCGAAGGTGCCTGAGATGGCTGTGCCTGATGTAAGACTTCCGGAAGTTCAGCTGCCCAAAGTGTCAGAGATGAAGCTCCCAAAGATGCCTGAGATGGCTGTGCCTGATGTACGACTTCCGGAAGTTCAGCTGCCCAAAGTGTCAGAGATGAAGCTCCCTAAGATGCCTGAGATGGCCGTGCCCGATGTTCGACTTCCAGAAGTTCAGCTGCCCAAAGTGTCAGAGATGAAGCTCCCAAAGATGCCTGAGATGGCCGTGCCCGATGTTCGACTTCCAGAAGTTCAGCTGCCCAAAGTGTCAGAGATGAAGCTCCCTAAGATGCCTGAGATGGCCGTGCCCGATGTTCGACTTCCAGAAGTTCAGCTGCCCAAAGTGTCAGAGATGAAAGTGCCTGATGTGAAACTTCCTGAAATGAAACTTCCAGAAATAAAACTCCCCAAAGTGCCTGAGATGGCGGTGCCTGATGTCCACCTCCCCGAGCTGCAGCTGCCCAAAGTGTCAGACATTCAGCTGCCTGAACTTCAAGTGTCACAGGTCCCAGAGGTGCAGCTTCCCAAGGTGCCAGAGATGAAGTTGTCCACGGTTCCTGAGGTTCAGAGAAAAGCGGCAGGGGCGGAACAGGCAGAAGGGACTGAATTTAGTTTCAAGTTGCCCAAGATGACCATGCCCAAGTTGGGGAAGGTGGGCAAGCCCAGTGAGGCAGGTCTTGAGGTTCCAGGTAAACTCATGACACTTCCCTGTTTGCAGCCAGAGGTGGGCAGTGAGGTGGCCCGTGTTGGTGTCCCCTCCCTCTCTCTGCCCTCTGTGGAGCTTGACCTGCCTGGGGCCCTGGGCCTGGAAGGACAAGTCCAAGAAGGCAAAGTGGAGAAGCCAGAGGGCTCCAGGGTAGCAGCAGGTGTTGGAGAGGTGGGTTTCCGGGTGCCCTCTGTGGAGATTGTAACTCCACAGCTGCCCACGGTTGCAGTTGAGAAAGAGCAGCTAGAGATGGTAGAAATGAAAGTCAAACCCACTTCCAAGTTCTCCCTGCCCAAATTTGGACTTTCGGGGCCCAAAGTGGCCAAGGCAGAGGTGGAGAGGCCTGGTCGAGCCACCAAGCTGAAGGTGTCCAAGTTTGCCATCTCACTCCCCAAAGCTCGAGCGGGGACCGAAGCAGAAGCAAAGGTTGCTGGGGAAGCAGGGCTGCTGCCTGCCCTGGACCTGTCCATCCCACAGCTCAGCCTGGATGCTCATCTGCCCTCAGGCAAAGTGGAGGTAGCAGGGGCTGACAGCAAGCCCAAAGGGCCCAGGTTTGCTCTGCCCAAGTTTGGGGTGAAAGGCCGGGACTCTGAGGCTGAAGTACTAATGGCGGGGGAGGCTGAGCTTGAGGGAAAGGGCCGGGGCTGGGATGGGAAGGTGAGGATGCCGAGGCTGAAGATGCCATCTTTTGGGCTGTCCCGAGGGAAGGAAGTAGAAGTGGAGGATGGGCGTGTTAGCCCTGGGGAAAAACTGGAGGCCATAGCTGCACAGCTTAAGATCCCAGAGGTGGAATTGGTCACACCAGGAGCTCAGGAGGCAGTGGGGGTTGCCAGTGGGGTGAGACCATCAGGCCTGCAGGTGTCTAGCACTAAGCAGGTGGTTGCAGAGGGCCAGGAGGGAGTGCTGAGGGTGCCCACACTGGGCATCTCACTGCCCCAGGTAGAACTGGCCAGCTTTCGGGAGGCAGGCGCTGAGATTACAGCCCCTTCTGCAGAGGGTACAGCAGGCTCTGTGATGCCGGAGCTGCCTGGAACCCAGGTGGCAGGAGGTGATCTGTTAGTGGGTGAGGGCATCTTTAAGATGCCCACAGTGACAGTGCCCCAGCTAGAGCTGGATGTGGGGCTGAGCCATGAAGCCCAGGCTGGTGAAGCCGCTAAGAGTGAGGGTGTGTTGAAGCTGACGTTGCCCACGCTAGGAGCAGGAGGCAGAGGAGAGGGTCCTGAGCACCAGGACCCCGGGGCCCAGCGCACCTTCCAGCTCTCATTGCCTGACGTGGAACTCACTTCACCAGTGAGTAGCCACGCTGAGTACAGAGTGGCAGAGGGTGATGGGGATGCCGGACACAAACTCAAGGTTCGGCTGCCCCTGTTTGGTCTGGTGAGGGCTAAGGAAGGATTAGAAGTTGGAGAAAAGGCTAAGAGTCCGAAGCTCAGGCTGCCCAGAGTGGGTTTCAGCCAAAGTGAGTTGGTCTCTGGAGAAGGCTCTCCAAGCCCTGAGGAGGAGGAAGAGGGTGGTGGGGAAGGGGCTTCGGGTCACCGGGGTCGGGTCAGGGTCCGATTACCTCGTGTAGGCTTGGCTTCCCCTTCTAAGGTCTCTAAGGGACAGGAGGGTGAAACAACCTCCAAGTCCCCGGTTGGGGAGAAGTCACCCAAATTCCGCTTTCCCAGGGTGTCGTTAAGCCCCAAGGCCCGGAGTGGGAGTAGGGACCGGGAAGAAGGTGGATTCAGGGTCCGATTGCCCAGTGTGGGGTTTTCAGAAACAGCAGCTCCAGGCTCCACAAGGATTGAGGGAACCCAGGCTGCTGCCATCTGAAGGCCTGGACAGATGTGGATTTCTCTCTTGCCTTCCCACCCACCAGTCCAACTCCCCATTTTGTGTGTAACATTACTAGCACTAATCCTCAGAGGGCTCCACGGTGGGCAACTGACTCAGGCAGGAGCCAGTGGCCGGTGCCACCTCATTAGCAGAAGTGCCTGTATATCACGCCAAGCTTTGTGAATAAAATAATTCAAAAGTTGCCATGTGTCCTGGTTCCTGTGTGTGTGTGAAGGTCTTCTTATTTGTGCTCCCCCACAGGCTTATGCAATGTTAGTTGAGCTCTCCTGGGGGACCCACTGCCCTCTGCAAGTGAACTTTTGTCCATCTTTCCCTTTCCATAAACAAGATGTTATTTTACTTTTGATGTCCTGGGAATTGAGCTTCAAGGTCTTCATGTATACTAGGCAAGTATCCTACCCCAGAACTGCAGCTCCAGCTTTTTAAACAACATTTTTAATTTATTATTTTATGTGTATGTGTGTTTTGCCTGTATATCATATGTATGCCCAGTGCCTGTGGAGGACAGAAACTCCAGACACTTGTGGGCCACCGTGTGGGTGCTGGGAATTGAACCCAGGTCCTCTGGAAGAGCAGCCAGTGCTCCTTACTACTGAGCCATCTCCCCAGACCCCTTTGGCTTTCATTTTCCTCTTTTTGAAAGAGAGTCTCATATATACCAGACTAGTCTCAAACTATGTAGCCAAGGATGGCCTTGATATTTGATTCTGCTGCCTGCCTCTACTATCTCCCAAGAGCTGGGGTTGGAGGTATATGCCTGGTTTTATGTGGTGCTGGGAATCCAGCTTAGGGCCTCATCCATGCTAGGCAAATACTCCACCAACAGAGCTACATCCAATCCCTTAACTTTTAGTTTCAGCTGTCACTGTTTCTCAAGCTGGCTTTGATCTTGCTCTGTAAAGCAAGCTGCCCTTCATTTGTTTCCAATCGTTCTGCCTCAGCCTTCCTAGACTAGTTAGAATTACAGACTTGCGCCACCAAGGCCACCTGGCCAGATTCCACACTCCCTTTCCTGTCTGTCTGGTTTGACAGCCCTGTACACTCACCCAAAGAAGTTCCTCCTGGTTCCTTCTTTGGAATCAAGGCTTCAGAGCCTCGGCTTCCAACACTTGGCTGTCTCTTAGGATCGGGTTCCAGGGTCCAGAACGCCCAACACGGATGGGCCTCAGCTCCTGCGGGCTGGGGCCACCCTTTCCCTTGCCTTTTCCCCACTGGAGTTTCTAGACCTCCACTGTCTTCAGTGGTCTCTCTGACATACACTCCTAGTCCAGCCCCAAGTCTTTTCTACAGGACTCACTTCTGCCCTGCCTGCCACGAATGTGAGCGCGCGCACACACACACACACACACACACACACACACACACACACACACACGCACATACACACACACACGCACATACACACACACACACGCACATACACACACACGCACACGCACATACACACACACACACACGCACATACACATACACACACACACAGGCACGCGCGCACATACACACATGTGCACATACACACACGCGCACATACACACGCACACATACACGCACACATACACGCACACACACTTCCAGTATGAAAAGTGAGAGCAAAGGGCTCTCACCTCTCCAGCATTCTTTCCCAACTGGCTCTCCACACAAGCCACTAGTCCTTTGTCTCCACCACACTTGACAAGAATTATCTTCACGTGTGGTAGACTCTCCCATTGTTTTTTGTCTTTAGGCAGGCTCTCACTAAGTTTCTCTGGCTGTCCTGGAACCCACTCCGTAGACCAGGCTGGCTTCATACTCACAGAGATCCGCCTGCCTCCACCTCCATGCTCAGCACCAGTAATCCTTCCTCGGCTTCCCCTGATTACTTTTCCCTCTCTCTCCCTTCTCCTGACTTCTTACCAAAATGTCAAGCTTCTTAGAGATGAATCATCCCCCACCTCCTCTCTCCCTTCTCTCCTGCTCCCTGAGCCCTTGGAGTTCCTCCTCAGGTCCACTCCACAAGTTCCCTGAGCTGCTTCCTCCCCCTTCTCATGATTTTTCAAGACAGGGTTTCTCTGGGTAGCCCTGGCTGTCCTGGAACTCTATAGACCAGGCTGGCCTCGAACTCAGAGGTCCACCTAGAGTTGACAAGTCCCAGACAGCCCTGCATCTCTCTAGGGAGCCAATTATCGCTGAAGCTTCTGGTGACGACTCCATCCACCATATACTGGAGATGTGTGGCAGTTCCAATACTGTCTCTGAGAGTTTCTAGCCCCCAAATGACTGACCTAAGTATCAGTGCTTTAAAAATTTTTTTTTCTGACATAGGGTCTCATGTAACCCTAGGCTGGTATCAAACTTTCTATGTAGCCCAGGCTGGTCACAAATTTTTGAGTGTCCCGTCTCAGCCTCCTGAGTTCGGGATTACTGCTGTATGCTACCAAGTCCAGAAATTTTAGGTATTTTTAAAAAAAATATTTTTAAAGATTTATTTACTTATTATGTATACAGTGTTCTATTTGCATGTATGCCTGCAGGCCAGAAGAGGGCACCAGATTTCATTACAGATGGTTGTGAGCCACCATGTGGGTGCTGGGAATTGAACTCAGGACCTCTGGAAGAACAGCCAGTGCTCTTAACCGCTGAGCCATCTCTCCAGCCCTTTAAAACCTTTTTAAGCCCAGTGGTGATGGCACACACCTTTAATCCCAGTACTTGGGAGGCAGAGGCAGGTGGATCTCTGAGTTTGAGGCCAGCCTGGTCTACAGAGTGAGTTCCAGGACAGCCAGGGATATAAAGAGAAATCCTGTCCCAGAAAAACAAAAACAAACAAAAATAAAAACGCTTGTGGCTCTTGCAGAGGACGTAGGTTTGATTCCCAGCATCCAAATGGTGACTTACAACCATCTGTAACTCTAGTCACAGGGGATATGAAGTCCTCTTCTGACTTTTGAGGGCACCAGGTATGCATGTGGTACACATACATACATGCAGGTCAACACCCACACACATAAAACAATATAATAAATATCTAAAAGAAAAGAAAGTAGTTTTAAAAAATAGCCAGGTGTGGTTTGTTTTTGTTTTGTCTTTTTTTTTTAAATTTTATTTACTTTTTGGGGCCCAGTACCCAGCTCCCAAATAAATACATGGAGACTTATTCTTACTTATGAATGCCTGGCCTTAGCTTACCTTATTTCTAGCCAGCTTTTTGTAACTTAAATTATCCTGTCTACCTTTTGCCTCTGGGTTTTTAACCTTTCTCTCTGCTCTCTTCCTTTCTTTCCTTCTTACTCCAAGGCTGGTTATGTAGCTGGGTGGCTGGCCCCTGGTGTCCTCTCTCCTCCTTTTCTCACTCCTCCCCTTTCTCTCTTCTTCTGTTTATTCTCTCTGCCTGCCAGCCCCATGTAGATGAATTGCTAAACGGTTTTATTAATAATTTAAAAAAAGAACCAGAGCCAGATATCAGGGTGAAAACCTGAGAGATCAGAGGGATAGGAAAAGCCACAGCTAACCTCACCTCACCAACTCCTCAGCTTCCAAAGAGACCTACTTCCTGTCTACCCACGCCTATATACCTTTCTGTTCTGCTATCTCATTTGCTCTCTCCGTCCAGTTACATCACTTCTTCTTCCTGCCCAGTTCTGTCACTTCCTGTCTGTCTGTACAGACCTCCATGACCTCCATGGTTAACTAGTGTTGGAATTTAAGGCATGTGCCACCACTCCTGGCTCTGTTCCCAGTGTGGCCTTGAACTCACAGAGATCCAGACAGATCCCTGCCTCCTGAGTGATAGGATTAAAGGCATGTGCTACCATTGCCTGACTTCCATGTTTACTATAGTGGCTGGCTTTTTCCTCTGATCCTCAGATAAATTTTATTGGGGGACACAGATAAAATATCACCACAGCCCCGCCTATCCTTTCTCCTGCCTCACTCTTAGCCGCTCAGCTCTTTATTAGAACATCAGGTGTTTTGGGCAGGCACAGTAACACGGCCATCACAGAATTAAACAAATGGAACATGAAAGAATACATCTTTGTGTCATTAAACAATTATTCCACAGCATGAATGAATGTAACACATCTTTAACTAATATTTTACAACAGCAGGTGTGGTGGTATATCCAGTATTTGGGAGGCAGAGGCAGGTGGATCTCTGTGTGTTCCAGGCCAGCCAGGGCTACGGAGTAAGGCCCTGTCTCAAACAAGAACATATATTGAGTAGAAAATATATGGAAGAGAAAAACCAAGACAGGGAGAGATGGAGTTGTGTTGTTTGCCGTTTGTTTAACGTCGACTTCCCTAATCTGATCTCCGTTTCTACCCCCACCAGCTGTCCCTTGTCCATGTCACCTTCTCAGGAACTACCCTCAACCTTGTCCTGGATTGTTTCTTCCCAGTGACCTTTCCAGTACCACAGCCTGCTCTCCTGCCCTATCAAGGGTCTCACCCAGTCAGCTCTGAGCTCGTCACCAGCCTCATCCTCGGGGCCTCCCTTAGCCTCCTTGCTGGAGCCTGAGGACTCCCTTCCGGAAGTTCACCTTTGTTGTGGAATGTTACTTTAACTGTGTAAAGGGTGTGTTACATTTGTTTCCCCTGCTTTTGTTAACGATGCAAAGACATGTTACATTTGTTTGATTAAATAAAACTAACCTGGGGCCAGGAGGCTGAGTCAGCCACTAGCTGACAGGAAGTGGCAGGAAGGAATTAAGTGTAGCGAGGGTTCTTTAGTGGGGGCCGAACAGAAGGAGGGCTCCTTTTTCTGGAGACAGGAGCAAGGAGAGAAGGTTAGCTATTTACTCCTCAGCCTCTCTGAGCAAGCAGGATTTCACCGCAACCTTTGAATCCTGAGTTCTAAAGAAAGACAGAGATTTAGATAAAGTTTCCTTTAGTGCCTGAGGGAACAGAATTCCCACCTGGCTGTGGCTGGTGTGGCCGACCTGCTGCCGGTAGCTGTGGAGTTACAACTGCCAGTTGGCACAGCAGTCGCTTCAGGTGCAGGCACTGTGTTGAATGAAAACCAACATTTGGCACTCCCGTGTGTGATACGGCCACATGGAGGGAGGGGTCACGCCAGCCAGCTCTGCTGCATTTACCATCTGGGGCTCTCCGTGAGCAGTCGGCCGCCGCTTACCCAGAGAAGTGAACAGAACTGATGAGAGACCTGGGAAATCCTTTAGGAGAGTAGGAGAGAATTAAATAATATTGAGAAGAATGTTTTCCCTCCATGTTAAGAATGGGAAACATAACAATTCAGGGTGCTAGAACCTCGTATACTGCTGCCTTAGAAGGCTTGAAATGAGAAGCAGAACATGGGAAGATAAATGATTTAACTGACACTGGTATAATAACTATTATCAGTACTGATACTGATAATAAGTACTATCAGTATGGTAATTAGTATCTTATCAATAATAGTCATAGTGGTTTTTTGTGCTAAATATGACAAATTGATTAGTAGGATGTGCAGGCCTTAGAAAGACATACTAATAACAAAAGAAAGAAAGAAAATGGTCAGGAGTTTAGAGCGGAACACACTGTGCCACTGCATTATGAATGTGGAGAGGAACGGCCTAAGGTTATTAGAACACCAACTCTAATATATCTAGTTACTGTTCATCAATAACCACCAGAGGATATGTATCCCCAAGGCTATGCAGAAGTTAATTAGAATCCTGTAGATATGTTAGACTTAAAGAGATTTAATGAAGCAGATAGTTTGCACAGTGCTTTATTGACTTTAAAAATTTTAAATGCTAATGAAAAAGGAGCAACATCTGCAGAGAGACATTGGATAGTAGAAAAAAAACTGATGAACTAAATCAACCTATATATTTTAAAGATGTGTTAAACTCAGAATGGAAACCAGGATATGTGTTATGCTGAGGAAGAGGTTTTGCTTTTATTTCCACAGGAGAAGAAAAGTTATGGATACCATCAAGATTGATAAAGATTTGAACAGGAGAGCCTTCTTGATGATGAGAAGGGATAGTTCAAGAGTAAAATTGGCCAACAGGATAAAATTTCATAAGTCTTCCCAGATATTTGTTTCTGTTGTTCTTTACAAATATAAAAGGCAAATGGTCTTTCTTAGTTCCAATTCAATTAAAATTTAAAGCTGACTTTGGAATTGGATCATGGCTCTCCTTCTCTAAACCCAAGCATGCTTGTTAAAAGAAAATACAAAATCTCTGTTTCATGTCAGAAGAGCCACCTGGTATGGGACAGAAGAAAACCAAAATTAAGGGACTTTTCTATTGCCACTAATCTCATAATCCTTTGGGTTTTTTTTTTTTGACTATTTAAAACTTTTTATAAGGTATAAATATTAGCTCTAAATTTATAAGACTGTTCTGCTTATGACATTTAAAATGTTTTAAGTTTTCAGCAGTGAACTGTAACCATTCATAACAGTGACCTTTGAAGTCTCTAATAGATGATGGGGCCCCACAACGAGGATTCCACAGGGATTGTGGTAATACCATTATAAGGGGACAAACACCACCCTAAGCTCAGTATCAGACTACAAATTGCTCAGGACAACTCCAAAGCTGCTAGCTGAGAGGGTCCAGCCTCACAGACTACTTTAGCCAGGACTTCGGATAAGCCCTGCACTTTCCCGTTACACAGAGACTGAATAACAGATGCTACAGCTAGTTTTCTCAAGACTTACCCAATATCTCAATTTTCTCAGAGTTCCCTAAAGATATCATTGCCCAAGACAGCAGGAATTAATTTAAGAACATGATGCCCATAGTCCCAAGAGGAGGGGTGAATGGTATTTGGTCGTTTTGTGGGTTATGAATGTTTGTCATCATTTAGGGGGGATGTTTAGTAATTGTTACTGGTATTGGTAAGGGAGGAAACTATACAAAGGAGATTATATTTGAGGATCTCGTTTAGAAAAAAGGGGGAATACAGGAATGATGCGATGGAATGGTAGATTATTGACTCTACTTTAACCTCAAAAACAACGATTAATCTCAAATATTTTGTGTTGGTATGACTTTTTGTATATTGATACAAATTTAAGGTTATTTTTGTTTTAACATAATGTATATATGTTTCTACTCTCATTTAAAGGATTTTTGTATATTGATACAAATTTAAGGTTATTTTCGTTATAACATATTGTATATATGTTTCTATCTTGTTTACGGTATTGTATCTATGCAGTTCATTTAAAAATATAAGGCAAAGTTTTGTTTTTAAAAGCTATTATGATAAACTAATTTAGAATAATCAAGAAGCACAGGTTAGTAGTTAGTCATCTATAACAATCAAATTTGTAGATATGTTAGGCATGTATTCAAGATTATACATGGATATATTTTAGATAGATAAATGGTCTTCAAATACTTCAAAGACCTATTGAATATGCATTCTAAATGTTTTTTTAACATAGGGTTTTTCATGACAATGAGACATGTCTGCTCCTGGCAGCACCAATTTACTTCATAAAAGGATGAAGTTTCACTGATGCCCATAGTGAAACTCTATATGGAGTTTTCTTTCAAAATGGCAAGGCTAGCCATTTGGGCAAGAAACTGCTTGGACTGCTGACAATAAGCTGTACAGACTGGACCAATGGGACACAGGAAAAAGACTGTTGAACTTTGCCAAGACAAAGCAGGACAGTACTTCGAGATTCCTGCTTCACAGAAGAGTCTGCCAGACATTCTGCAGGACACAGAGGAAAGTGACTGACAACCTTTGCCAATACCAGGCTGAACAATCCTTCAAATTTCCTGCTTCACTGAAAACTCTGCCAGATATTCTAGGCCTGTAGGCTGAAGATGTTGAAGATGCCCCAATGTTGCAGAGGAACTTTGGGTGACTGTCCAGGTAGTCAGACATCTCTGTCACTTCTAGAGTTTTGGAAGTTGCTTGCAGTGCAGTTCCTGTTTACTTTGATGGAGTTGAAGACTAGTTATAGTTGTAGTTTTCCTTAGTTATGATTAGAAAGTCAATCAGGCATAACACTTTGGATTCACTAAGACAGGATAGCTAATGGAGTATTTTCTTTAAATCTGCCAGACACAAGTGGACTGAACCTTGTGAATGTAATCCTTACTTGATAATTGTTCTTTTTTTTTTTTTTTTTAAAGATTTATTTATTTATTATGTATGTAGAAGAGGGCGCCAGATCTCATTACAGACGGTTGTGAGCCACCATGTGGGTGCTGGGAATTGAACTCAGGACCTCTGGAAGAGCAGTCGGTGCTCTTAACCTCTGAGCCATCTCTCCAGCCCCAATTGTTCTTATTGTATATAGTCTTACTATGTCTAAGTTAAAACCCTTTCTTTTTATTTAGACAAAAAGGGAGAAATGTTGTGGAATATTATTTTAACTGTGTAAAGATGTGTTACATTTGTTTCTGCTGCTTTTGTTAATAGTGTAAAGACATGTTACATTTGTTTGATTAAATAAAACTAACCTGAGTTCAGGAGGCTGAGTCAGCAACTAGCTGACAGGAAGTGATAGGAAGGAATTAGGTATAGTGAGGGTTCTTTAGTGGGGGCTGAGTAAAAGGACGCTCCTTTTTCGGGAGGAGGTTAGCTATTTACTCTCCAGCCTCTCTGAGCGAGCAGGATTTCACGACAACTCTGAATCCTGAATTCTATAGAAGGTTTCTATAGAATGGCTACCTTTAGCTGCGGAGTTGCAATTGCTAGTTGGGACAGCAGTTGCTTAAGGTGCAGCCGCTGTGTTGAACGCCAAACAACGACCATTCTCACACAGAAGCTTTCGTGTGAAGACTCAGGTCCGACACCCCTCATTCCCCTGCTCAAAGCCTTCCATGGCTCCCCAGTGGCTAGTTCAAACTTTTTAGCCTGCATTCAGTGCCTTTACAATCTGGATCTTACCCTATGCATACATCCCCTCTATGCCTTACAACACACACACACACACACACACACACACACACACACACACACACACACACTCCCTCCCTCTAACTTGGGAAATCTTTCCACATTCTCACATGCCTATCAGCATGTCCCTATTTCTGAACACCCAAGGTCAATGATTAAAATCCCTGAGTCTACCCTGTCAGCTTCTCCAGGGTTCCATCAGTGGGTGGGGGAGGGGCCCAGCCTGGCACCCCACCCCCCATTCTAGCCGAGGACTCAGGTCTCTAACAACAGAATCAAAGCCACTCAGCAACGCTGGAATCCATTCAGGGGGGCCTGAGCCCCCTCATCCCAAGCCAGGAGGGCTTTGGGGGGAGGGGTGTAGCCCCTGGTAGACTCATTGTGTGGCCAAGAGGGTCAAGGGGTGCCAGGGAGGCAGGGGCTAGCCTCATCGGGAGAGACAGGAGTGTGGTTATCTTTCCCCCGCTAGGAGGACTGAAAGACCATCATCAGGGTGGGACGTCTAGGCAGCCAAGCAAGTGGTTCAGTGGGAAGGGCAGAGTAGTGACTGGCAGCCAGGGCACCATGGCCACCATCCAGTCAGAGACTGACTGTTACGACATCATTGAGGTGCTGGGCAAGGGCACCTTCGGAGAGGTGGCCAAGGGCTGGCGTCGGAGTACAGGTGAAATGGTGGCCATCAAGATCCTGAAGAATGACGCGTACCGAAGCCGCATCATCAAGAATGAGCTGAAGCTGCTACGATGTGTACGAGGCCTGGATCCCGATGAGGCCCATGTCATCCGTTTTCTTGAGTTCTTCCACGATGCCCTCAAGTTCTACTTGGTCTTTGAGCTACTGGAGCAAAACCTTTTTGAGTTCCAGAAAGAGAACAACTTCGCACCTCTTCCTGCCCGGCACATCCGCACTGTCACCCTGCAGGTGCTGAGAGCACTGGCCCGGCTCAAGGAGCTCGCCATCATCCATGCTGACCTCAAGCCTGAAAACATTATGTTAGTGGACCAGACCCGCTGCCCCTTCAGGGTAAAGGTGAGTAAGGCTGCCTGGGAAACAGCTTTGCTCAACCTTGCCCCGGGTGCTCTGCCAACGTGTGGGGCTCCCTGGTCAGTCCCATGATGTGGCTCTGAGGTGTCCCTGATTCCCGAGCTGCCTGTCCTCCTGCTGTCCGGCAGTCTTCCATATCCCATCCCAATTCTTTCGTTTTGTTGTTGTTTGTTTTTGTTTTTGAGACAGGGTCTCATGGCACAGGCTGGCCTTGAACTCGCTGTGTAGCTGAGGATGACTTGAATTCATGACCTACCTGCCTCTACTACCCAAGTGCTAGGATTATTGGTATGTGTCACGACAGCCAGCTCGTTTTGTTGGGTTTTGTTTTTTGGAGACAGGGTCTCGTGTAGTCCAGGCTGGTCTGAATTTTGAGTGGGTCCCTCCTCCCAAGTATCTGAATTACAGGTATTCACCACCATGCCTGGCTTCTCCATCTCATTTCTGAGGTCCTCTCTGTCAAAGACTGGAGGTCTTCCGTGCTTCCCCTCCAGGCCCTGAAGTCTCCCCAACCCTGTTCCATCCAGCTTCCCTCCTCTGGCTCAGGTCAGGGCTGACACTCTAGTGGGGGAGACAGTACTCGGGTAAGGAGTAAAATGTGTCATGGGAGTGAGAAGAAGATAGAGCATGAGGGGAAGGATATGGGGTATTGCTCAGGTGTGGGATGGGCTGGAGGTTGAAATATAAGAGGTGGTCAGGAAGGCGGCACCTGAGTGAGTCTTGAGGGTTGGAGAGGGCCATGGAAGAAGGGAGAGGTTCCAGGTAGAAGGAACAGCCAGCAGAAAGGCTGAGGTGGAAGCATGTGGTGCTGAAGTATTCTAGCAACACAGGGGAGTTCTGTGGAGAATGAATGGGGTGAAGAGGGAGGACATGAGGTAAAAGAGGCAGGGGCGGGGTTTTGCAGGGCCTCATAGGCGCAGTCAAAACTGGTTTTACTTTGTGGTTTTTGTTTTGTTTTGTTTTGTTTTTTGATACAAGGTCTCACAAGGTATCCCTGGCTGGCCTCGAACTTGCTATGTAGACCAGGCAGGCTTCAAACTCATGGAAGATTCTCCTGCCTCTGCCTCCCAAACAATGGGGTCAAAGGCACACACCAGCATGCTGGGCTCGTAGATGAATTCAGAGCAGGAGGGCCCGCTCTGACTTAGGCGTTCATTTTTTGGGGGGAGTAAGATCAAGAAGGCAGATGGGGTGACCCAAGTAGGAGACGCAGGTAACAAGATGTAGCTGGGATATGTGTGGGTTCTGAGCAGATCTGGAGCAAGAGACAACAGAATTCATTGGTGGGTTTCACAGTGTGAGGGAGGCAGGCTTCAGAGATATTTGGATGGCAAAGTGCCCGTTGAACAAGCATGAGGACCTCAGTTCAGGTTCCCAGGACCCACATAAAAAGCCAGGTGTACTATCAGTGTTAGGGAGGTAGAGACAGGAGGATTCCTGGATTTGTTGGTCAGCCAGTCTAGCCAATCAGCAAGCTCCATGTTCAATGAGGGATCTTGTCTCAAAATATAAGGTAGAGAGTGGTAGAAGGCGGCTAACTTCTGACACATGTGTGCATATGCACACAAACATGTACTCACACACTCACAGCTAAGAAAAAGCAGGGCCAGTAAGACGGCTCAGGCAGTAAAGGTGCTGGCTTGCTGCTAAGCCTAAGGACTTGAGTTCAATGCCCAGGACCTATATGGTGGAAGCAGAGAACGGACTCCCAAAAGGCGTCCTCCGACCTCTACACATATGTGATTGCATTTGCACGCCCCCCCCCCCCCCCGCCCCAATTAATTAAGTTTCAAAGAGAAAATGTGTGAGGGAGAGCTGGGCATGGGGACAGATACCTATAATTCTAGCACTGCAGAGGAAGAGGTAGAGGGATTAGAAGTCCAGGGTTGTCTTTGGCTGCGTGGCAAGTTCAAGGCCAGTCTACACTACTTGAGATTCTGTCTTAAAAAAAAAAAAATTGTGAGAGAGGAAGATACGGCTCAACTTGGACCAGAGCTGCTGGCCTAGGCAACTGCAAGCTAGGTCCCTCTAGCCTCTGTTCTTGACCCGGGGTGGGCACCTGAGCTGTCTCCTCTGCCCCCACCCCCCCAGTCTCACTTCTCCTGCAGAGCCTCTGTGGCTCATCCACCTACTCAGATATCCCTCTCTGCCTCCTCCGTCAGAGCTCAGGCTCCTCTGCGAGCTCATTTGTCATCAAGAGCCTGGTGATGACTGAGCAGTCAGCACCCAAGGGCGGGGCTGGACCGAAGCTGCCTTCACTGGGTCCTTGGCCTCTCCCAGCACCCCACTGAATGTCAGAGACACAGAGACAGGAAGAGATGGGTGTTTCTGCCCTGAGGGATGGAAGGACAATGAGCCAAGAAGAGATCTTTGTAGATCTAGCAGGGCTCACACAGCATCTGGGAGTCACTGGCACCCCTACAGTGTTTTCAGAACGAAGGGACCCCACAAACTCAATGCCCAGTGTCTCTCAAGCTCTCGGGGATTCTGAGTCCTGACTAGTAATTATTCATGATCAGCCTTGTGTGCAGGGAAGATGAGGGGTGGCCGAGCGCAAAGCCATGGCCTCCACTAAGTGAGTCACAGATTCAGTGAAACCAGCAGAGCGCCACCTGGCGGCGAGGGGGAGAGACGAAGGAGGCTCCTGCCCACGGCCCGTGGCATGCGCTGAGGGCCTTCAGGGTGTAGACCGTGCCTGAAGATGATAGAGGACTTGGCTTTCAGGGTGGTTCCTTCCCAGTCGATAACACAGAAATGAAGATGGAGACACTGGGAGATGAGCGATTAGCTGTGAAGCTGGGGAGAGAGAGAGAGAGAGAGAGAGAGAGAGAGAGAGAGAGAGAGAGAGAGAGAGCCCCAGAGAGGAGCTAGACCTGGTAAAGCAGGCCTATAATCCTAGTTACTTAAGGCTGCTGAAGGCAGGGTTATCATGAATTCAAGACCTGCCTCAGGAACTAAGAGCACCCTCTACATAAATGTCAAAGGCCCAGTGTGCTGGTGCATGTGGAAGCTGGAGGGTCAGGAGTTCAAAGGCACCCTAGACTGCACAATGGATATGGGAGACACAAAACCCTATCTCAAAGATCAAACACTATGCCTGGCAGGGTAGTGCACGCCTTTAATCCCAGCACTCAGGGGCCAGAGGCAGGCAGATCTCTGTGAGTTCGAGGCCAGCCTGGGCTACAGAGCGAGATCCAGGACAGCCAAGGATATGTAGAGAGACCCTGTCTCAAAACAACAAAACAAAACCTGAACACTGATTTAGGTTTTTAAATTAGTTAATTAATTAGGTTAATTAACTAACTAAATAAGTTTTTAGAAGCTGGCTAAAGAGAGGCTCAGTGGTTAAATGGCCAGACTGCTCTTGCAGAGGACCCATGTTAGGTTCCCAGTACCATATTGGACAGCCCACAACTACCTGTAACTCCAGCTCCAGAGGCATCTGATTCATCTGGTCTCAGTGGATTCCAAGGGTGCACAAGCGCGCACGTGTGTACACACACACACACACACACACACACACACACACACACACACACACACAAGATTAGAATAAAAAATAAAACTAAAAAACTCTTACAGGGGGCTGGAGGGATGGCTCAGCGGTTAAGAGCACTTGACCGTTCTTCCAGAGGTCCTGAGTTCAATTCTTAGCAACCACATGGTGGCTCACAACCATTTGTAATGGGATCAGATTCCTTCTTTCGGTGTGCATGAAGACAGAACACTCATATACATAAAATACATGAATAGATAAATCTTAAAAAGAAAAACACTTATAAAAAAAAAGGTTGGGGGGCTGGAGAGATGGCTCAGCGGTTAGGAGCACTGGCTGTTCTTCCAGAGGTCCTGAGTTCAATTCCCAGCAACCACATGGTGGCTCACAACCATCTGTAATGAGATCTGGTGCCCTCTTCTGGCCTGCAGGGATATGTGCAGACAGAACACTGTATACATAATAAATAAATCTTTAAAAAAAAAAAAAAAAAAAAAGGTTGGGAGCCTAGCTCAGTGTTAGAATATTTACCTAATATACATGATGCCTTAAGTTCAATCTCCAGTACCATGGAACACAGATACTCAAAAATATTGATTGTTTACCATTCACTCTTTCCTAGGCCCTACAATGTGCCAGGCACTGTTCCAGACCTCTAGAGACACAGCCTTGAATGAAATACAAAGCTCTTGTTCTTGTGGGACTGGAATTTTATTTTTTATTTTATTTTTTATTTTTTGGTTTTTCGAGACAGGGTTTCTCTGTGTAGCTTTGCGCCTTTCCTGGAACTCACTTGGTAGCCCAGGCTGGCCTCGAACTCACAGAGATCCGCCTGGCTCTGCCTCCCGAGTGCTGGGATTAAAGGCGTGAGCCACCACCGCCCGGCTGGAATTTTATTTTTTAATTTAATTCATTTATTTTGTTTTTTTGAGACGGTCTCTCTGTGTAGCCCTGGCTGGCCTGGAACTCACTCTGTAGACCAGGTTGGCCTCCAACTCACAGTTCCTCCTTCCTCTGTACCCCAAGTGCTGGGACTGAAGGTGTGCACCACCACCACAAGGCTAACTGAGTTGACAGGTGAGTGCCTGTGCACGTATTATGGCATTCCAGGAGAGGGCTTTGATTCTCCTGGAAACAGGGTTACAGACAGGTGTGAGTTGCCATGTGGGTGTTGGGAACCGAACCTGGGTCCTCTGCAGAGCAGCCAGTGCTCTTAATCACTGAGCCATCTCTCCAGTGGGTTAAATGCTTGCTGCACAGAAGCAGAAGATCCTAAATTCAGATCCCCAGCATCATTAGCTCTGGGCTTGGGTTTATAATAGCAGGGCTGAGGGGTTGTAAGGGAAGACAAGAGGGGCCTAAGAGCTCAGTGACCTGGAAATCCTGCCAAAATAGGGAGTTTCAGGTTCAGTGAGAGACCCTGTCTTAAAAAATAAGGTAGAGTGGTAGAAAACACCTAACAACCTTTCTTCCCTACATGTGCACACATGGGTGATGACACCCACCCACATACGCATGTACCCTACCCCACATACAAGTGAAATATAGAGTATGTGAAATATTAAAATGGTAGCTGGGAGCTAGGCTTGGCTATGCACACCTATAATCTCAGACCTTGGGAAGTAGGGAGTGGAGAACAGGCGTTCAAGGTCATCTTTGGCTACATAACCAGTCTGAAGCCAGCCTGGGATACCTGAGACCTTGTCTCAAAACTAACCAACGAAGGGCAGGGGAATATGGGAGAATATGTGCCTACTATATACATGGCTCTGCACTGCAGGGTGGGGGGGGTCCCCAACTATTATAGGCACAAGTTCAAGCACAGAGAATCAGAGACACAGAATCAGACCTAACATCTAACCCAGAAGCAACAGCTAGCGGAGACAGGGACATTCACAAGAAAGGAAGTCTCGAAGGCACAGAACTAGACAGATCCAGGAGAAATGCAGGGATGAGCCCCAGGAGGGGCCACAGTCTGGTCACCCCACCACTCCACCAGCCCACCCGCCCTGTGTTCCATACCCTCTGCCCTCCACAGGTGATTGACTTCGGCTCGGCCAGCATATTCAGTGAGGTGCGCTATGTGAAGGAGCCATACATCCAGTCCCGCTTCTACAGGGCCCCAGAGATCCTGTTGGGGTTGCCCTTCTGTGAGAAGGTGGACGTGTGGTCTCTGGGCTGCGTCATGGCCGAGCTACACCTGGGCTGGCCTCTCTACCCGGGCAATAATGAGTATGACCAGGTGCGCTACATCTGTGAGACGCAGGGCTTGCCCAAGCCCCATCTGCTGCATGCCGCCCGCAAGGCTCACCACTTCTTCAAGCGGAACCCCCACCCTGATGCCACCAACCCCTGGCAGCTGAAGTCCTCTGCCGACTACCTAGCTGAGACCAAGGTGTGAAGGGAACAGGCAGGGTGAAGACAATCCGTGCTGGTGGTGGGGGAGCTGCTATATTAAGAACACTCTAGGTTAGACCTTGGGGGAGGACCAGAAATTTGGGAGTTAGTTGTCAGACCTGGGTAGTAAAACAAATCTGGTGGCCAGCAAATCTGAAGGTCACAGCCATGTCTCTGGGTCAGACTGGAGGTCTAGGTGAAGTGTGGAGCTAGCTGAGTTAGGGGACAGGAGGACCAAAGAACAGAAGCGCATATCCTTCCTATGGCAGGAGAGCTATGGATTAGAAATACAGGATCTGGTATGAGGGGCCAGACTGGGCAGCCCAAGCAGCAAGAGAAGTGGGCAGACGTCAGGGGGATCCTACTTGGCTCCCACAGCAGGTGATTTTTGGAACCCTGAGTCTAGACACACCTCCACCTGGTATCCCCCTGCCCCACCAGGTTCGCCCACTGGAACGCCGCAAGTACATGCTCAAATCCTTGGACCAGATTGAGACAGTGAATGGTGGCGGGGCTGTGAATCGGCTGAGTTTCCCAGACCGGGAGGCGCTGGCCGAACATGCAGACCTCAAGAGCATGGTGGAATTGATCAAACGCATGCTAACATGGGAGTCTCACGAACGCATCAGTCCCAGCGCGGCCCTGCGCCACCCCTTCGTGTCCATGCAGCAGCTGCGCAGTGCCCACGAGGCCACCCGCTACTACCAGCTGTCCCTTCGTGGCTGCCGTCTGTCCCTGCAGGTGGATGGAAAACCACCCCCGCCTGTCATAGCCAGTGCAGAGGATGGGCCTCCCTACTACCGGCTGGCTGAGGAGGAGGATACTGCAGGCCTGGGTGGCATGGCAGGCAGTGGGTCCTTCTTCAGGGAGGAGAAGGCTCCAGGAATGCAGAGGGCCATCGACCAGCTTGATGACCTGAGTCTTCAGGAGGCCCGACGAGGGCTGTGGAGTGACACACGGTCCGACACGGTCTCTGACATGCTGGCCCCACTCAAAGTGGCTAATCCTGGCCATCGAGTCCCTGACTCAGGCCCGGAGCCTATCCTGGCTTTCTATGGCAGCCGCTTGACCGGCCGCCACAAGGCCCGCAAGGCCCCGGCAGGCTCCAAATCTGACTCCAATTTCAGTAACCTTATCCGGCTAAGTCAGGCTTCACCAGAGGATGCTGTGTCCTGTCGGGGCAGTGGCTGGGAGGAAGGAGAAGGCCGTGGGGCCTCCACAGAGCCATCTATCATCCCACAACGGGAAGGAGATGGGCCCAGCATCAAAGACAGGACCATGGATACTGAGGTAAGCAGGGTGCACAGACTGGCACCCAGCCTGGGTCTTGGCCTCCCTAGAGCTTAATCTATGGTGGTACACAGGTAAAAGGGCCATGGCTCCTGCAGCTGTAGCTTTCTGTCACCTCACGTCCAGGCCCTAAGGTTCAGTAAACACTGACTTCCGACACAAGGAAACAAGGTTCAGTTCACACTAGCACCCTCAGGACAGCTCAAGGCTTATACTAGCTCTAATTAAGGCTGGGACAGAAAACAGGCACCTAATGATGGACCTGTTAAGAAATGGGCAAGGTGCTGGGTGGTGTGGCACATTAGCTGTAATCCCAGGAAGCAGAAACAGGAGGGTCACCTCAAGGTCGAGTTTAGTTTGGGCTCCATAATAACACCCTACCTCAAAAAACAAACACTAACACCTCCTCCTTGCCAATAGGGCTGGAGATTTAGTTTTGTAGTAGAATCCCTGCCTAGTATCCACCAGTGAGGGACTGGGGACTCTCCTCCAGTGGCAGGTAGAGTGCTTACCTACAATCCAATGTGAGGGAGTGGGGATATAATTTAGCAGTAGAGCATTTGCCTAGAATTCCCCGGTGAGGGGCTGGAGGTGTGGCCCAGAGGTGGAGCATTTGCCTAGCATGAGCCTAGTCTGCCCTGGCTCCCATCCCTAATATGTGTTGCACTGTGAGAAAGCCTGCACAGGGAGTGAGGGCCTTCATGCCTGCTTATTCCTTCCAGTAGACAGGTACACACCGCAGCAGGTACCCATACTTCTTGCTGATGTTCTTCTTTCTCCCCTCTACAGAGGTCAGGCCCTGAGCTCTTCGATCCAAGCAGCTGTCCTGGAGAGTGGCTGAATGAGCCAGAATGGACCCTAGAGGGCATCCGGGGGTCTCGAGCTCAAGGGCTCCCCGCCCGCCATCCCCACCCACATGGGCCACCCAGGACCACCAGCTTTCTGCAGCATGTTGGAGGGCACCATTGACGGGGACCCCATCCCTATTGTTTTCTGGGGTCTGAGCTAGCTGGGCTGGCATCCCCTCTTGCTTTGAAATGGCTCCTTAGAGCCATCCTGTGAACCCACAGATTATTCTTACAGAAAAATAGCTATCCAGAATATTCCTACTCCCTGCCCCTGGCAACATGCCTATATCCCACCCTAAACGTTGGAGGCCTTTAGGGTCTGGCCTGAGGCTCTGAGGCCAGTGAGTCAGGAAGAGGACTACACCTCACTGGCCAGGACTGTGCCTGGGCCCACTTGCCTCTGTGTATTTCAATAAATAACTGTTCCAAACCCTGCTCCTGCCTGTTACCACCGCGTGAACCTGTACTACCCATACGGAGCCCGGTCTGCCTCTGCCAGGCTGTGACTGGTTGGCTACTGGCTGAGGCCAAAGGCCCAGCTACTACGGCACTGGAAGAGAAAAGCTGTGCTGGGCACAGTAACCTGTTATTCCCTAAATAAACTAAATTCAACTTGGCATGGTGGAGAGGGTTTGTAATTCTAAGTACTCAGGAGACTGAGGCAGGAGGAGAATTACAATGACAAGTTCAAGACCAGTCTGGGCTTATAGTGAGATCTTGTCTTAAAACTAAAAGGGGGAAAAAAAAAGAGCCAAGGGCTTGGCCCCTTGGGAATCTGCCCTCAGAATGTTCTCTGTTGGACACACGTCCATCTGAGTTTGCAAGCACCACTGACTAGTCCTCTGTATTTGTGACAGGCTTGGCATGCTCGCTCACGCACGCTCAGGACATGCTAAGTGAAACGCACTGGTGGGAATAAATTCTGACCTGGCACATGCTCTGTTGTTCAGATCTTCTGGTCTCTCTGGGCCCCGCCACCCCCACCCCTTCACCCCCCCCCCCACCCCACCCTGCCATACACAATGGCATTGAGCAGCAGTTCTTCCTACATTGCTCTGGAACATGCTCAGTACAACACATGCTGGTTATGTGCATGCTCAGCCCATGCCTGCCCGTGTGGTCGCACACCGCATGCCCAGCCCACGCCAGCCTTGTGTGCATTGCATGCTGAGATGTCTCCATTAGAAGTCCATGCCACCTGTCCCCTAACCAACAACCCATCTCACACCACTCAGTTACGTACAGGCTGTACAGACAATTATTTACTTATTATACTCTTGGCCCCTTTGTGGGGGTGGGCCAAAGGTCCGGGCCCAGCATGCACCCCCACTACTTTGGGGCCTGATCCTCCCCCAGCTCTGCTAGGTCCACAGAGGCCAGAGTGTCAGGCCAGTGGAGGTGGAGGTAGCCACAGGAGCACAGTAGGGAGACTGTGGAGCCACAATGAGGCAGACAGAAGCGAGGGCATGGGGACAAAAACCAGGACCCAGAGTTGAGTCCAGGGGGGCCTGGAAGGCTTTGGCCTATCCATTGGGCTGGGCCTCAAAGCAGGCGACAGGCATTGCCCACGCTGTTAGCAGAGGTGTCGAGATCATGGCTGTATGGGGATTCCCAGTCTCTCAGGAAAACAGCCTCCAGCTGGCTGCGCAAGCCACCATGCCCATTCTGCGTCACCAGCAGGGAGGTGCCCGCTGTCTCTGTGAAGTAGCTCCCAGACCAGTTGGAGGTTCCTGAGGACAAGGGGTAGAGTAAGGGTCTGATGGGGTGGCTGGGAGCTAGTGCCCAGGACCTCCTTTTCTTTGATATGCCCATGGTACTGAGCCAGGGCACTCACCAATGTATGTAGCACGTTCAGTCACCATGTACTTGTTGTGGTTGACACGGGCGTAGGGTATTCGAGCCTGGGCTTCATCCGCAGGGACCACAAACAGTTTCTGCAGGGGAGGGGAGGACATGGAGAAGCTCGGGTGCAAGCTGGGGAGCTGTGCGCAGCTTTGGGACGGCAGAGCAGACATGTCAGCGCTGTCTCAAAAGGCACCGGGCTGCTTCCCTGGGGTAGGGTGGATCCTTGGACCCAAATAGGGCCCAGTACAGCTGGTCCTCAGTAAACACCAGCTAAGGTAGGGTAGGGGTGGGGAGAGACCTACCGTGGCTTGTATTCCCCCGTGAAGCCCCATATCCGATGTCCCTTTTTCTAGAGAAAGTCTGTCTTGCCTCTGTCTCTCTCCTTTCTGTCTTAAAGATTTTTAAGTTTATGTGTGTGAGTGTGTGTGCTGGTGCCCATAGGCCAGAGGAGGACATGAGATTCCCTGGAGCTAGAGTTAGAGGCTATTATGAGCTGCCAGACACGGGGTGCTGGGAGCCAAAATTTGGTCCTTTGGAAGAGCAGCAAGTGCTCTTAGCCAGAGAGCCATCTCTCCGTTTCCACAGACTGTCATTCCTCCTCGTCCTCTGCACCTGGTTTTTAGACCAGGCCTCACTACATTTCCCAGGCTGGCCTGAATTTATTGTATAGTCAAGGATGACCTTGAACTTCTGATTCTCTTACCTCTACCTGCTAGGTGCTGGGATTATAAGTGTGGGCTCACCTCTGGCTTAGGAGGTCCTAGAGACTGACCCAAAGCCACAGCCCCTCACAAAGTCTTTCTTTACCAGTATATAGCGAGTGGTTTCTGTGTGTCAGCTTCACGCACCCCTGCCCCTCTCCCTGAGACTCCCCACCTCAATGACGGACCTCCCTCCGCACTCCCCAAATCCCAGCCAGCCATGGTTCATAGCTTCCCTCGCATGGCTGTCCACTCTGGGTCATCCTTGTCATGACACTTGCGTCCCCAGGACCGTGCAGTGGAAAAGGGCTGGGTTCTTACCACCTGGATGTCAGAGTGGGTGTGGTTGTCACGAAGAGCAGCCAGGGAGAGAAGGAAGGAGCGCATGGACGGCTCCGAGTGCCCCCAGCAGCTGATGAGCAAGCGCACTTTGACACCTCGTTCGTAGGCGGCCCGTCGCAGGCCATCATCAATGGCTGGCCAGAACCTGAGGTGCAGCAGAGGAGAGGAGGAGGCAGATCTTTTTTTTAAAGTTTTTTCTTTGTTTGTTTTTGGTCTTGTAGACAGGGTTTCTCTGTGTAGCCCTGGCTGTCCTGGAACTCACTCTGCAGACCAGGCTGGCCTTGAGCTCAGATTCACCTGCTTCTGCCTCCTGAGTACTGGGATTAAAGGCGTGTGCCACCACTACCACCCTGGCTTTTTTCTTTTTAATTTTTAAAAATATGTACCTATTGGTTTTTTTAAATGATTTAATATTGCTTTAACTATGTGTAGCTGTGTCTGCATGTAGATGTGAGCCTGTGAGTACCAAAGTCCACAGAAGACGAAAGCATCAGATCACCTGGGGCTGGAGTTAAATGGTTGTGAGCCACTTGACATGGGTGCTGGGAACCAAACTCGGGTCCTCTGAAAAAGCAAGTGCTCTTCCTGCTGAGCCGTCTCTCCAGCTTCAAAAGATGTATTCAGTTTTATTTTATGTGTACCACCCTAGAAGAGGCAGTTTTAGCTACAGACTTTACCTACAGCTTTGGGGCTTTGGGGCTCCCAAGCTCTCTTTCTACATTCTCATATTCCTCACCTCCTGTTCCTGGTTACCATTTGGGTACCCCAAAACTCATCCTCCCATCTTTTGTTTTGAGACAGTTGCACTCTGTAACCAAGGCTGGTCTCCATCCTCCCACCTCAGTCTTTCTTCCAAAGAATGGGCTTACAGACGTGCACCACCATGCCCAATCTCCTCTCATCTCCTGAGTGTGTGTGTGTGTGTGTGTGTTCACTGGATTACAGGCAATTGTGAGCCACTTGACATGGATGTCTGGAACAAGGTAGGTGCTGGGAACTGAATTGAGCAAGTGTTCTTAACTGGTGAGTGATCTCTCCAGTCCCAATCCACCTTACTTTTTTAGACAGGGTCTCTTGCTGAATGTGGATCACCCCAGTTCAGCTAGGGTAGCTGGCCAGCGAGCCTTTGGGATCCACCTGTCTCTGTCCCCATGCTGGGGTAAAAGATGCATGCTGTCATGCATGCCTTTTATTTGAGGATCCAAACGGGTCCTCTCGCTTGCTTGGCAAGCACTTTACCCACTGAGTCTTCTTCCCAGCTCCATCTTATCTTCTGACCCCACATTCAATCACCCCCTGCCCCACCCCTTCTTGGTGACACTAGGGGTGAGCCTGGGACCTCTAGCATGTTAAATGAGAGCTCTGTCACTGAGATATGGCCCTTGCCTCCATATTCTCCCTTGTATCTGCTCTCCTGCCTGGGCCTCCTGCTTGCTCTTGGAGTCCCCTTAGCCCTCCTCTCACAGAAGTTTCCCATCCTGAGCCCTCCCCAACCCAGAGTACCTGCGTGGATGGGAGAACTCCATGGTGGGCAGGTAGTTCATAACTGCAATGTAGATGAAGCTCCGGGCACTGTCTACCACGTTGAGCAGAGCCTTCAGGTCTGGAGTGCGGCCACTCGGACACAGTGGTGGGGGTGCACTCTGGGGGGTGAGGGGACAGTCAATACCTGTGTCCTGCTGGAGGCAGCATCACAGTGGACCCCAAGTTCGGAACACTCACAATGAACCGGGTGCTATGGAGCTCACTAAAAAACAGTCTCCATGAGAGGAAGGAGAATTACCATTTGTTTTTCAGGTGAGGAAACAGGCTCTGAAAGGGTAAGCTACTTGTTTAAGGTCACACGGCCAATCAGTGCGGCTGAGAGTGAAGTGCTGGGTTCCAGAATTCATACTCTTGGATGGTTCCTGATCCAGCAGCAATAACGCCACTTTGTTACTTGGAGACTTGCTTCAAATGCAAGTTCTTTTTTCAGTGGATGTATACATGTATGTGTGTATTATATATGTGAATGCATGTGCCGTACTGTGTGAGTGGAAGTCAGAGGACACTCTCACGCGTTGGTCCTCGTCTCCCATTTTGTTTGAGGCAGAGTCTCTTCGCCACCATACCTACAGAGGTGCTGGGATTATAGATGTGCATTACTATGCCAGGTTTTTTTTTTTTTTTTTGAGTTCTGGGGATCTGAACTCAGGTCCTCATGCTTCTACAGCAAGTGGTACACTGATCTATTTCCCTAGCTCCTTATGATTTTGTTATTTTATTTTATTTTTTAAAGATTCATTTATTTATTATGTATACAGTGTTCTGCCTGCATGTATCCCTACAGGCCAGAAGAGGGAGCCAGATCTCATTACAGATGGTCGTGAGCCACCATGTGGTTGTTGGGAATTGAACTTGGGACCTTTGGAAGAGCAGCCAGTGCTCTTAACCTCTGAGCCATCTCTCCAGCCCCCGTTATTTTATTTTTTTGTTGGTTGGTTAGTTAGTTGGTTTATTGGGGATAGGATCTCATGCAGTCCAATTGGTCTGTAATTTACTATGTAGCCAGAATAACTTTTTTTTTTTTTAAGATTTATTTATTACGTATATAGTGTTCTGTCTGCATGTATGCCTGCAGGCCTGAAGAGAGCATCAGATCTCATTACAGATGGTTGTGAGGCACCATGTGGTTGCTGGGAATTGAACCTCTGGAAGAGCAGGCAGTATTCTTAACCTCTGAGCCATCTCTCCAGCCCACCAGAATAACTTTGAACTCCTGATCCTCCTGCCTCCACTCTTCTTGGGTGCTAGAATTACAGGCAGGTACAAGTTCAACTGGCTAGGGACAGAGTTTTAGTGACACCTCCAGGCAACTGATTTGGAGATCTATTCTGTCACATCCAACCCTGACCAGGCAATTCCGCATGTGTCAGGGGTCACAACAGGCCCTTTGCTCCGGTCCCGAGGAAATTGCAACTCTAAAAATAGAAGTGGCCGTGGAAGAAGGAAGTGTTCATCTCTATGGAAGACTATCGGGGCAAATACAGAAAGCCCCGAGTGGCCTTCCTCAGCTGAAAAAACGTGGCACTAGCAAAATCAGTAGCGTTTTGTCTATCGT